AATCTCCTCTCTCCAATCCTAATCCTATTCCCATTTCCTCCTTGTATTTGGATGCTATGCTAATAAAAATATCATTTGAACTCCAAACCTAGTCCCACAATTTGTAGGATTTCTTTCCTGTGGTGGCAATTATTCAATGGTATCACAATTACTTTAAGATATAGGTGGAGCTCATTATGGGAGAGTGATATGTGACTACCTGCTTGCTTGCAGCTGGTCCTTGTGTGTGAACTTGTTAACTTAACAGACCTTATTTATCATTAGCACTTAATGAGCTCAAGAACTACCTATACTAAGTGTTGCACCCATGATTAGACAAGGTTCAGGGCTGATTTGTGACAGTCTTTGTTTTTGGAGAGAAGATAAACCAAAATTAGGGTGAATGTTGGTACTTGATTTCATTTCTATAGTTGGTGCAAGTGTCCAAATTACAGTAAATGATGATGGTGGTAATATCTGTCTCTTATACACATCTAGATGTGTATAAGAGACAGTTCGTGGGCTATCCTTGGTGTTTAGAATCCGTTTTATTGGTTGTAATGTGAACTGTATATTATCCCAGATGACGCTTTGTATTCAGCAAACTAAAATTAGAGTAAACTGAATTGTTCAATCCAATACAAACTCTATTTGAACCATTTAAAATCTGAAGTGGATTTGTAATTTCACACTGTTTACAGCCCATTAAAAATCTACATTGTATCTAGTTGTTAGAATCGAAGCATCAAGGCAAAAAATGTGATCATCAATCATGCTTAAAATATAGCAGAAATTTCTAAAGTACTCTAATTTCCTAAACAAAATTATACATGTTTTTTACACCATATATTGCAGTTGCTTTTCTCATTATTTTTGATGATTATTCTAATTTAAACATTCTTTGGTTGTTGGATTATGTAAATTGGCAAACCTTATAGACAAATAAAAACAAATATTATCATATGACTTAAGTTTAGAGAAATTTAATGCTACCACTGTTTATAATTGTTTACATTGTATTGTTTCATGAATAAATGTATAAAACCATTCAAAATTACTTGCGTATTTTCTATGATATTTTTACAAAAGACAATTGTCTGATATATTGTCACCTTATTATCAGTTATAAGATGTTCCATTCCAGTATATTCTTCTTTAAGGTGCTTCTTCTCATTAGATATACAGTAGTGTATTAAGTGTACGATCAAACCAACCCTTTTCACACGCAAGACATGTTCGCTACACTCGGTACACGCCAAGGTTTTAATTTGCTACAGGCTATTGTGACTTGAAAATACTGCGATTGAGGTTCCATTTAAATGATGTCCTGGATTTAATGTGGGTATAGGTTACTTTTAATACAAGATGCATAGTCCGATCTTTATTACATTTGAACAGTATTATATTTTGTTTTGCTTTTGGAAAAACAATTTAATAATGTGAGTCTGTGCTTACTTTCAGTCTAATTCTTTCCTAACGTTTACTTCAATAGTGTAAGATAAAATGAAATGATAAGTTTCAAACTAAGATTCTGAAAATAAATGCTATATAAAATGACTACAACAACAACAAAACTTCTTGTCACTTAATAGTTTTAAATGTGTTTCTTGTCACAACTGTTGACCCAAAATGGTCTATTATTAATGGTTTAATATGTCTGTCATTGTTTCTGTTGATATTTTTCTAACTCAAATTCTAATTATAAACCCGTCAAAATACATAACCCGAATCATATGTTAGACGGTCTCCCGCCGTGTGATAGGGATAGCAACCGTCGTTGATACCTGCCCCTCCCTTGGTGTTAGTCTGCGGTCCTGACAGTAACAGTGACAGGATAAGAATAGCACCCAGCTTAGTTATAGTCACTCCCATGTTGTACTGTATTTAGCTGTATTATGGATATCATATGGTAGCATAACATAGCATGGTCTTAGTTACATGTGGTTTTCACTCGGTAGGTGACAGACTCTCAGTACTGTATTGTCACATTGGATGACATTCTTTAACTTCCAACATTATGACTACATGAAAATTGTATACACTTGCAGTTTAATTAAAAGCAAAAATACAGTAAAGAAACTTTATGCTGATTGATGGTGATCATCATTAGTTATTATGCTTGCATAACACATTAATTAGTAAGGTATCAAGAATATAGTATAAAAAAATCCAAATGGATTTGATAGTATAGTAATGGAATACAATGTAGAGATACAGTAAAAATAGATTTGTTTGCATTGATATTGCTTAGTAATTGTTTCATTAATTAGTATGGTTTCAAGAATATAGTAGCAAAAGTCCGGAATAGAGATGATAAATAAATACATTACTAATAATATACAATGTATTAGTCATACTACAGTAATAATAGATCTGTTTGCATTGATATTGCAGGCCATTCAGACCTATATAATGATATTGTTGTTCAGCTTCATACATCAACAACAATATTGAATGCATAATTAAATGGCCCACAGTATTGCTTGGAGGTTCACAACTTAATTAAAATCATCAGGCCATTATCATCAGGATATATACCCACTAGCGTTTTCTCAACCGTACAATAATAAACCGCATTGAAAATTTCTGTCAGAGTAATGTTAAATAAATGTGAATATTTATTACTGCACTAGGCTAATTGGTTATTTGAGCTAAAAAAAGTTGAAAAAAATACATTATTATCAGCTACCGCTGTTGATTATTGGTTGGTTAGATGAAACTGTACCAGATTTGACTTTATTTCCTTATCCCTGAAGGAGACGAATGCATTTGCATTGTATAGTGCAAAATAATAATTATTATCGCAGTTGCAATGTGCTAAGAGATTTCATCTTTGGTGAAATAATTCTAAAATGGATTCCTGGCATTAAGGCAGTCATGTGACTATTAATATTTGGAATGTATTGCATTTGCAGTGCAAATATTGAACTGATTTTTTTTTAGAGAAAATGAAGAATTTTATGAGGTCAAATTGAGTTAAGAACATGCATGAGCCGACATTGCACTGGGCCTTCAATAATCAGCACGGTTGGACATTGTTGGCTGCTGTACTAGACTGACCTTTTGGTGGTAATATTGATAATGATTTGATGATGATGGTGATTATTTATGACTGCTGACCTGATGTCTTAGCTTCATGTTTAATTATTCAATTTTACTTTTTCATAATATAAATTTAGAAATATAGTAATCATTTTATCATGGGAGAAACACACCCTACCTGTGACCACGTTTTTATGCTTTTGCTTCTTTTTGGCTTTTATATTTGTTCAGATTTTGTAATTTTGTTCTTACCGAAATGAGTAAAAAATTTGATACGATATACGATGAACTTTAATGCAATTTTTATCAAAAAAATACAATTCAAATCAAATCAATTTTTATCAAATGGAAACATGCAATAAAAAAAACAACACATTCGCAACGTTACAATAAAAATAAACATAAAGAAAAAGTAGGCTTGCAACTATAAAAAAAAAAAAAAAACTATAATTAAAAAGAAGAATGAATAATTAATGGATGATAATGATGATGACAAAGGTGTTTATGATGATTAATTAATATTTGTTGATGGTGATAATAATTTTAATGATTTGATGATGCTGACTGCTTTTTATATAAACTTCTTTGTGTCAATATACTGTTCCATTTATATAGTGGGTGATTTTTTTTAATTCATTGATGAAGACAAAGGTACTGTATAAATGTTATTACAGAGATGAATAAGATTTGAAAAAAATTAAATGTCATGAAATTGAAGACGCTGGTTGACTACTGAATCAGCCATGTAGTGCTACACAATATTAGAATGAATATTGAATGCTTTGCTACTGTATTACGTATACAAGATCAAAACATCATTACGGTCCACTGCATTTATTTTTAGTCGGTTTACTTATCATATGTCAATTAACGGATTTAATTATATGTTGTGGCCCAGCACAGTGAAATACTATACCTACCAAATCGTCATGCCGACCTATGAATTATTTTGATGAAGTAATTTGATCAGATATGAGAGATTATTATGTTGATGCACATGCGCAAATTCTATTTTTCTATATTTTTTTTTTTATTTGATAGCTGTCAAGCAGGTCTTCTTTTCCTTAGTTTAGCTAGCTACAGTACCATCGTGTTAGTGTACGTTTCATTTATAATTTCCTCAGCCAGTCAGAACTCTGCTGGTCAATGACCTGAAACTTTTACGCTTACTCCAATCCTATGCTATCTTTGCCTTTTGTTACATAATTTATCATTACAAAAAAGTGTATTAAAGTTTTTCTTGGAAAGTATGAGTGGATTCGTCTATCTGTGGGACTTGACATTTAACATATGAATTAAATGTAGCTACCTCATCAACACATACTGATACTATGTAATGATGAATGATTGACGAGAGAATGAGGAAGTAACGACTCAAGAATACATGATTAATACATTTTTAATGTGACGCACAATATGGTTATGTATTGCGTTTTCTCATTTTGCTTGCGCTTCCCCATTACTTAGCCTTCAACGTGACTTGTGTCTTACTGTGAACTGTGCTTCCCTGGAAGTCACTCAATTCCCATGAATGTGTTTTCCCATAATTTACAGACCTGTAACTTTTACAATCATGTTACATAACTTTCTATATTTCATTGATCCAAATTTATATAGTACACATACAATATTACTCAATCCTATCTTTGGATAATGATGCTAATTAGTAATAAGTAATCCTACTCTAACACTATAAAGATATCAGTAGAATGTAATCTTGCGCTATTTTATTAAAAATTTGTCATGAAATATGAAATGATCAGGGGCGTGACTAGGAATGACATGGGCTAAAGCCCAACTCAATAAGGGGTCATTTCTAAACCCCTGGCCAACAAAAATACGATAAAAAACATATAAAATATAAGAAAGGGAAAGATAAAATTTGGTAAATTGAACTATACCATTTTTTCTTATAGCAGGTCATATACATTTATCATCTAATTTTTGAAGTTTCTAAATTCTACATATTTTTTTTGCAGGAAGAATATCTTCTACCAAACCTTTGAACCCAAGTGACGTGTCCTCCCACGTGTTCTCCGTCGCAGCGTACGATTGTGGTAACAAAAAGAGCGATGCTGTTACAGTGACTGTCACAGTCAATCGTCTTTGCGTACAAGGAATCAAGGGTAAGAGACATATCAGCATTAAATATTCCTTAAGGATTATTTGTTTATTGGCTAAGCAAAACTTATACCTTGATACTGTAGTTTATGTAGTATTATCTTAATGTGATGTAATATAGAACCGAAAGGTCCACTGATTAATCTCAGATAAGATAGTATAATACATACTCCAAGTATCGAAATGCACGCCATCATGTCAGGATTCAATATTTCGACATTAATTATGTCATCATCAGGAATGATGTAATATAGCTACTGTAGATTTATGTAGTGCTAAGTCTGAAAGTGCTAGAAACTTGGACTAGCTCATACAGTACCTTCCTTCTGCCTAATAGTCACTTAGTGTCTGAGCTACACTACCTGGTTGACTTCGTATTGGTATAATTTTTAACTTGATAAGCTCTTCTATTCAAGTATTTTTTCCCTGAACCATGATCCATCAATTATTGTACCATGTTGCATGTATATCACCAACTATATTTCATATTATTTATTAATATTGCTATCAAACTTAATAGTGTTAGTTTATTGATTATTTACTGTACAGTATATGCCAGTATCCAAGATCACTACAGGGTCTAGCAGTAGTCAGATCACTACAGGGTCTAGTAGTAGTCAGATCACTACAGGGTCTAGCAGTAGTCAGATCACTACAGGGTCTAGTAGTAGTCAGATCACTACAGGGTCTAGCAGTAGTCAGATCACTACAGGGTCTAGCAGTAGTCAGATCACTACAGGGTCTAGCAGTAGTCCTTTTCAGTTCTCCACAAGAGGAATAATACTGATATTGATAAGACTTGCTATTGAACCTTACAGGAATATGTAACTATTCTGCCACCTTCTCTGTCAGGTTTATCAAAACGTATTGAGTACATGCCTGATACTGACAACCACATCCTTGGAGCCAAGATGTTCCTGGAGCTGTGTGCTCCTTCCAAGTGCAATTCCAGCTCCGTTTCCATGGTATTTGAGATGGAAACGGACCACATCGTAATGGGATGTGATCGCGACACTTACTCTGTGGCAGCACAACGTCAAGTTTGCAGTAAGTATTGGTTACTTATGTTATATTTATAGCATATAATTACATATTTTGTTAAGATAATTAATATTGTAATAATAATTATATTACACAAGAAAAGATAACATGTACACACAAAACCAGAAATTTGTAATAAAATGTAATAAAAAAATACAAGATTTATATTCATGAGAGACATCCAACTTAAAATATTATCTAAGAGAAAAAACATGAAATTATATTTTGTCATTTTTTTTAAAATGTGATTAATTCAGAAGTAGGATGCTACCCATCTTCAGACTCGTCTTCTATGTACACTGCTAATTTAACTATTCATACTTTATGTTACGGATAACAGCTGTTACAGAATTTTTCTCTTTTCCAAAAATGAGAATGACAATCAAAGATTAAAAAATTGTCTCATCGAAACGTACTGATAGAAGAAGTTATGACTCAGTGTTGGCCAATATGTTGTGCATAATAATATTTGTACATTACATTTTCCCTTGTGTGTCATACAAACACTTTAACAACAATGTACTGCATCATCTAGATTTGAAAGATTAAATCTATTTTCAAGCAGATAGTATGTTATCCAATTAAAAACACATTTATTTCATATTGTTTTCTATTAGTTAATGTAGTAAATATAGTCCTAAGAAAAATACACATTTTATGTTATATTACATAACTTCTATGAGAACATTTAATCCACAACAGATGCACCTGATGAGATCATTGACCTACTTCCGACCCCAAATGTCGGTGAGAAGTGGACTGAAGATCTGCAAACTGACGAAGGGCATGAGAATACTCAAGTATACAAGTTTAACGGAGAAGACAGCCAAGTATCCATCCCTGACAAGTTCCTGCCAAGTAGTTTAAATACCACGTTCAGTATATCGACTTGGATGAAGCACGCTCCTGAGAAAGACATCAAAGAAACCATCCTCTGTTATTCAGATGCTGAGGGTAAGCTTTGACAGGGTCTTATACAAATTTTATATATTTCGAAATCAATTATTTCATTGAGCTCATTTTATACAACTTAAAATTAAATAACCAATCAGTAGATTTACTATATCTTCAACCTTTTTTCCTACCTACTACTGTATTTCAAATATTTATATTGGCATTTTTGAAATATTAGGATTTAATATTATAGAAGATATAAACATAAAAAAAACCAGGTAGTTTAAGAGATGAAATTAATTACAAAGAGCGCAATTAATATCTGTGCAGTACTTTGAAGAAATGCAATCTTGCATATTGCGCAGTTAACGTAAAAATATCGCTGACAATTATTCCTTGGTGGCACACCTGCTGCCGGGTAGAAATAATGAATGTTAATTACAAAAACACCAATGACAAACACTTTTGTAAGGCAGCTCCCAGTACCTTGCGGTCAAACATGGTGAAAAGAAATTGATTGCATTTGAAACTATAATAACGTTGGTGTTTTTCTTTGAATGTCAATCAACTCAGGCGATATTGTATACGGTGTTAAGTTCTATTTCTTATCACATTTTATTTTTAAAGCTAAAAGATACAGCATATGTGCTTCTTCAAAGATTGAGCGAATGTTGCAAATATGATATTTAATAGGATTCATGAATTACCCTTTTTTTCTTTTTTTATTTTTGCTACACTCAATGATAGAATAACTTTTTAAAGAAAACAACATAATATTAGCATTTTCTCTGAAATTTTTCCTTTATTCACATTTTTGCCTTTTCCATTCTTGTAATAACATAAATGATAGAATTATAAGAGCACATGGCAACACCTTAAAACTATAATGTTGTCATCAATTTCCAACTAATGGTTTTAAACAAAAGTATAAATAATTTAATTGCACTTCTACACATCATTAAAATTAAGGATGTATGCCAATGTCATTTGGCATCATATCAAAGGCTTTATTTGCTTAACAGTATTATCATGGGTATTGGATTGGCCCTAGTCATGTTCATAGAAGTATTTTCCAGGGTATTCCATAATGTTGCAGTGTAGTAATCTGTGTTAGCAATAAAACCTTAAATACCCACATGCTGCTGGGCAGAGAGAGACAATAATAATAAAGTACCTTGTGCGTGATTATCTTTAGATCCGAAAAAATATCTTTTTCTAAGAAGCCCAGAGCTGTACCGCTGCAAATAAACTAAGACTGCATGCTTTACTTAAGGACTACCTCAGTGGAGAACTCACTATCAACCTGTACACAGCATACCAGTAAATTGATTTAATTCTGAGCCAACCAAAAATGTTACTGTATAAAGCCACTTAAATACTGGATTTGATTTAATAATAATGATTTGTTTATAGAAGGCCATCAGTCTTCTCAATACTTAATCATCTTTCACATTGGATTACTAACTCTGGCAATTGAATTGTTGATAATAAACTCCTAGATAGCATCGTTCACTATTGATCCACTTAACCCCCAAGTGGCTTGGGAGACTATGGCACAGCTGGTTGTGCTAATATGTCATCATTGGATGAGTACTCAAAAGTAGCTTGTTCAAGTCTTTAGGGAGTTGTTTCAATAATAATATTGAGTTATATGTTATATGTGATATAATTTGTTTCATAATTATTGGTATTATCATGGTCTTAAGTGTGTTATCTTATACTGTTTGTTTTATATTTTGTAATAATTATGGGCAACTGTTAAATTAGATTAGATCCTGACTTACAGGTGTTTCTTTTCTCTAAAGATTTAAAATATATAATGTATATTCATACATATCAGAATCCAGGATGTGCTTTTATTGTGCACATCATTTTATTTTTTTACAGATTTTATATAAGCATATATTAATATTACTAACCATATCTTCTTTCAATCATAAAGTCGTACTAAGTTATGAAAAATTCAGTAATTTTGTGCTATGCCTGACTGAATATTCTACCTTTTATAAAGCTCTGACTATTATGTTTCTAACAAATCTTTTCTTTCCATCACTTCTTACTTTCCTTCTTTTTTTTCCATCCTTTTTTCCCGCAAAGGAGCAGAGCTGCCAGATACAAGTAATGCTACCACAGTTAGAACAAACTACACAGACAGTAAGGCCTTCAGTGGCTGTTTTTGCATGCCATTAACCCAGCGCTTAATGAACGTAAAATTAAACGAGAATATCACCCCTCAAAGCAATATTATAACTGCAATATAATTATGCTTAGATTACTGCATTTTGTTTTAGTGTGACATGAAAAGATTTGGATTGTTCACTTCTTTAATTTGATACAAACCATTTGTCATTAATATCATTGTCATCACGTACCTAATAGTTATTGTTATTTTAAGGCTAATCTTTTATTTTATTTTTATCATCTAGAAGGTAATTTGTTTTTAATCGATAAAGTTATTGTCTGGTTGTAGATTATATAGTTGATAATTTTTAATATTTATTTGATAGAAACCTACTAGGGAGTAGTGACCTAATAGTCGAGATGCATGCATTCTAATCCCAAGGTCCTGGGTTTAAGTCCTACAATAAGTCGCCAGGATTCTTCTAACAATTAAAACCACTCATACTCTAACTACATTGTTGTCATAATTTAAGTCATAATCATTGATAATCACCCTGTATTTTAACCATTAATCATATGTGTACAGTAGGATAATTACTATTGCAGAACATTTTAAAATTTATATTAACATATATTAACAATTCCATGTTGTCATAAATACCTACTTTGCTGTCGTACTTTACATAATATGTGCATATTGTATGCTACAAAAATTATATACAAAAAATACAAAAATTCTGTAGAATTGTTCAACTATTGACCTTGGTTTCACCTTATTAATTTGTTGCAAACATTGACATTCTAAGATTTTTTTTATGTTATAACAAAATTGATATTTAGAAAATAATTATGAATCTTCCTACAGGCTGAAATAGTTTTACTATTAATCCTACACTAGTACTTCATCTTAATAGTATGACTGAATTTTCTATAGTATTGAAAGATAATTTTGTTGGCTTTGGGGAAAAGTCTTACTCCTTGAACATCCCCCAAAAAAAAAACCCAGGGGAAACCCAAAATGAATTTTTTTTAAATCCCATGGGAAAAACCAAAATTTGGTCTTTTTGGAAAAGTAAATGGTGTCTGTAAAAAATAAACATGTTTCCCAAGCTATAAGTAAACAAGGTTTTTTTTTCTAATATCATTAATATTTTTTTCTTTTTTTCTGATGCCTTGTTTTTGTTAGAAGGGAAGTGTTGTTTCCCATTTCCAGCTTACCTTTTGGCAGCTTTGCTCGCTCTCTCTAATCAGAACCTGTGAAATTTAAATTAGTTTTGATTTTATTTTGAGTTAGTTCAGTTTGCCATCCTCTAGACTTAGCCTCTTTCAAAATCTTGTACTGTAGGTGATGATTGTATGTGGTAGCACGCATGCAAGTAAATTGTTTTCTATTATATTTCTTAGGAAAGACACCTGAATTTCCTTTATTCAGTCAATTTTTACCTCAAGCTTTTGTCAATATTTATTATAACTTGTGAAATTAACCGTCAAGTACTTTAGAAAACATTAAATCAACTATTATATTCATCTCAGTGGGAAAAAATAAACTGCATTTTCTTCGTTAACCTCATTTGTATTAAGCACTGTAGACTCGCAATATACTTACTGCATTAATTTTGCCATAGTAGATTTTCCCTTGCAATCCGCTCTGCAGCCCCACCTCGTCATCTGCACTATGAATATTCATGAGAATGGCATGCTTGAATGCACTGTGAATATTAGACAACAGGTCTCGGCCTTATATCATCGATCATACAATTATAATGCTCTCTGACCAATCAACCAATCAGGTTGAAGGTTAGCTAAGATTGGAATTATCCAATCAGGATCAGTGTTACATTATAGCATTTGAGTCATCATTTTATATTACCTGCAATTGAAATTTTTTTTAGAAATAATAAATGTAACATGATTTTTTTTTACATACCAATTTATAATAAAATGAGTTATTGGTTTGCATTTCTTTTTCTCATTCTGCCATCTGTCACCTCAATGCAGATTGTATTTACTCATGCAGATATTATTACAGTAACGAGTGATTAATTAATCATCAAAGAAAAAAATGTTTTAACTCTTGACAATATTTGCCCCACATACCAGGCTCATTGGAATATTATTGTACAGTATGTGGAGCCATCATCTGTTATCATTTGCTAGTGTCGACCCACATCACTGACAATCTCAAGTATTTTAATCTGCTCCTAATCATTCTTTGAATATAAATTAATTATTTTCCAATATATTAATGAGAATTAAAAGCTTGTGCATAAGGTTTATCCCGCAGGATAAACAATTTGAAATTTGTTTGCATGTTTCCATAACAAGTTGAAATACAAAATAGATTTTTGACTAGATGGTTTTCTTTGGGTGTCATGCATTCATTAGTGTGGGCGAGCATTCAGACACATGACGGTTAGAGTGAAGAAAATTAAAACAAATGAGAAATAAAGGGAACATACATCATATATAAATGTCAAGAAATGTGATTTCTAACGTCTAGCATACCTCAGCTAATTATTCTTAACCTAAAAAGATCAAGATAAAAATACAAATAATTGAATCCAATTACTGAAAAGTAATATTGACAAATTGATGGTTAAATACTGTAGCTTCAAATCACAAGACAGCTCTGAATATCAGCTAATCTTCTGGGACAAGCTAAATTGGTCACCTTTTACAACATGAGTATGGTAAAAAAAATATTTTATCTAGGATTGTTCATTTTTTTCAACAAGTAGCAAAGAAAAAGCAATATAGATATAGCAATTTCATAAATAATGTAGAGTACCATTGAAATTATGAGATAAGGAGAAAATGTAATACTATGTAAATTGGAGCTCAGTAGGGAAGATATGTGTTAAGAAACCTAATCAATCATCTTCTATGTAAATATTTCCGTTGTTCAAAGCTAAACCAGGTGAAGGGAACGTGAAGATTAACTGTTCACTGCCCTCACACTCCTCATGTGATTTAATCATCATGGCAACAGCAAGGCTTCAAACTCATGGTCAACTTCTCGAGTGTGACTCATTGCTAATTAGAATTGTTGACGCATGTGTTAACGAACTTGAATCCTAATTAGAATCGTAATGTAGTAGATATGTACAAATCTGCTAAAAGCCCTGCAATAATAGCTTTGTTGAACAATAGGTTTGTTTAATGTCTTCCACATCCAACTACGACGCTGCTAATTACAAGATTTGATCTACACTATGTATTGAGCTATAAATGTCGCATTATGGAGTTTTTTGTATACGTAAAGGTGAAAAGTATTCTGGGATAGTAGAGGATTTGAACCTATGAGCTTGAGTTTGAAAAAGGAGCGTCTTAACTACGAAGCTACAGAGAGTGAAGTTGATATATTATTATTTATTTATTTATTAATTCAACTGTATTTAAAGTGGATAGCCCTTTCAGCATGGCTGGTATGAAACGGCCCACTTAGACAAATCAACGACAAAACAGTATAAAAGTAATTATGGGGGAAAAAAAACAGAAAAAAATTAATATTAATATAAAACATAAATATATACACGGAGGTAAAAGCTGTCCAATATCTATCTCATAATTTTTAATCTTAATTTATTGTATTAATTCCACATCTGAGCTGATAATCATTATTAAATAATAATTGATAAACATTTCGTCGATCACATCACGAAACACAAAGTAGATTGTGTTAGTTCGTGAAATCACAGTAGGGCGTCAAAATAAGCGTGTATTGGTTGTCAGGCACTTTCATATTCTTTATCATACAAAAAGTCTGTAACAACAACTGCGCGTATTTTGACGCGCTTTCGTGATTTCACAAACTAACGCAATCTAATTTGATTGTGTTAGTTTGTGACGTGAGCGACGATTTATAATGCAGAGAATGGATTGAGCTGCCTAGACAGGTCCAGTTTGGTTGTTACCATACAGTAGGTCAAACATATTATATATCTAATTATTCTAAACATATATTTCTATTTTATGATGTATGATACATATAAAGATAGCAAACTGGCTACACAATTGCATTATGATCGATCTATGGTATATTGACATAATATTGATTAAGGAATATTCTATGCATAATTAACCTAATTTCACACAATTGGTTGTTGGTTGGATGCAAATTGTATCCTTATCTTCAAGGTTTGTGTATTACAAACGTGCCAATTTGTGTCTTTGTTCTGTTATATTGCTAATATAATTTTTTTTTTTTTTTTTTAATAATTTGTTTATGGTTCTCGAAAATATAACACATACACTATATTAGCCTTGAGAAGCAGTTAAGATGAGTTCCAGCACTATACATTTTTTATGTATTTAATTATCTAATTAATTTGAATAGTGTTATATTTATTGCACTCGCATTCATGAAGTAATGCTTAAAGCACTTGATATAAAAGAAAATATCTGAGCATAATATATTTTTGTTGAATGAATTATATTAATTCCTAGTGTAGGTTCTATTCAACATAATAACATGAAAATGTTCATAACATTGTACAGAGTGTCTTCATATAGTCAACATAACAGCATATTTTTAGATTTCTATATTTGTTTACCCCCTCTTTATCCCTTCCCCTAAAGACAGTAACAATTAGAATAATATATTTTGGTTTTGTTTATGAACAGTAAATAACAATGCTTTAACTTCATTTAAAGAACTTTGATAAAGTACATTAAACTGTGTCATGGTTTGTATGACATGGTTTATGCATTATTTGATTAGTATAGCAATTCTGTATTTGTAACAAGATAATTAAACCGTGAATAAATTAGATAACATTGTGTACAGAGGACACATGGCGCGCCAAGTTGTACTATGGTCTGGGTTTACGGATCATAGAACATCGTTTGTAGTAAGTCAGGAATACTAGGTATTGCTACAGTATACTATTTACATCTTTAATTACTACTTCATGTTTACTCATTTTTTTAAATTTCCACTTTAATGGTTACGCTTTTTTTTTCTTTAAATTGTAAAGTAAATTACAGTATTTGAAAAGTGAAATAATTCTTTTTATTCCTCATATACCTTCTAAAAAGGCTAATGTTTTTTAAACAAATTATTTAAAATTATAATAAAGAAAATGTATCATAATTCTGGTCAGCAGAAAATGATAGAGAGTGAATGCACTTTGCATAATATGTTGCCTATTGTTTTGTTCATAAGAGAACTCAAGAGGGTATGTCATACGAGCATCAGTTTATTTATTTGTTCGTTCATTGTACTCTTTCAGGAATGAATCGTCATCACATGGCGCTTTACATCCACAATTGCCGTCTTGTTCTGCTGGTTCGTCGCCATGGGGACGACCCCGATGATTATAGACCAGCCGAATGGCGATGGAAACTCTCCGAAGCTTGCGACAAAGAATGGCATCATTATGTTGTTAATGTTGACTTACCAGAGGTAAGTTTCATTAGCTTTTAATAGAAGGAAATATGTAAATTAAGGTCATGTATTGCTAATGTCAGGTTAAAGGTTACAACCCCAGAGTACATTTAATTTTGTTGTGTTTTAGTTACTTAGCAGAATAATCATTTTGCTAAGATCTAGTTCATATATTAATCATCATATTATAGGATGTTATTATTAAGTAGAAAAAGAGTCTCAAAATTGAATTCCATTTGATATATTGGTTGTCTAAAAGTTCAAGTTGGTTAAGGAAATGTGAAGTAAGTATTGGGTTTAATTTAATTCATTTGAATAAACGAGCTCACACATGCAGAAAGGAAATTAAAGATGTTAATGTTCAATGGTGAACTTTGGGCTAATAAGGTACATTTTCCGTGTTGCTATATCCTTTACAGGGAGGATAGGAAGCAGAATGAAATCTTCACAATAAGGGGAGGATGGACTAAGATGTATAATTTTACAGTAGCCATTGTCATGTTCCTACTGTTTATCTCTTACATATATTTAGAATACGGTCCTCAATTACCTTCAAACGTGCGTTTTCAAATTTATTTTATTTTAACAAATAATATATATTTGTCTTTTGTTGTATGCTGTAGTTTGAATTGTGTATAGTACAAACACTTGCACATTCTGTTGCCTTCCAGACTAATACAGATTTGATTATGAATAAAAGTTAGATTTGATGTATTGTGTAAAATATATTTGGTGATTGTATTTTTAATCATTCCTTATTTGTATACAGGTTAAATTATACGTTGATGGACACCACTACGCCGCCCATCACATTGTGACAGATCGACCACTACATCCCACAGCCTACAAGTCAACACTTACCGTAGGCGCAGCTTGGGAAGGTAACTATTACCATACAGAGTTAATTAATTATCATTAAAAAAAATTTTTTAAGTGTTTGGAGTGAATATATTTTAATGTCTTTATAACATCAAGTACACTCACCAATTACAGAATAGAAGGATGCTTTATAAAATAAAACTCAGTGTGAGGTTTATGGATTGAAGTTGTTTTTATTCTTGAGAAGAATACAGGATACAACTCCAAATCCTGGTATTTGGTTTTAACCACAAAGCTACAGTTATACTCCAACCTTTTACAAGACTAAGACAACAAATCTTTAAGCCTTTTAATGAGTTTTAAAGTATTTCTATTGAATTTTTGATAATTACTTGCAGTTGGATTTGACGGAAATGATGATTACTGTCACATATGTATTGAATACTTTTTCCTACATTGGTTGACACCACAAAACCATTATTTTGCATTATATGTCAAATAGACCCTTCGTAATGCACTACCATAATCATACATTATATTAATTTGTACATTTCATGGAAGCTAATATCCTCTGATGACTTACTCCACATTGATGTCTTATTGTTATTGAAAACAATATTTCATGTACTAATGAATACTGATGATGTCATCATTGCTAGGAAACGCGGAGTAAACAGTCTTCCATTTGAGCATGTCAAATTAGAATTCATACAAATGTTTTAAGAATTGCACGCTGTAAAGTCTTTTATTACAAAGGAGATGACATGAACAGAGCTTCAATCCCGCTGTCACATGTACTTAAAGGCCCCTGGCATCTATTAAGCACCGATCCTATGGTCCAAGCACATCGCAAACGACTTGAATATTATGCTGGCAAAAGATCGTTAATTTGATTTTTAATGACCTTTACACCATATTTTTTTTAGCTACAGGAACCTGTCCTAGATATTATGTCTTCCTTCCATTGTATCAGTATTAATACCTCGTAATTTACCTGCTTGTTGTCTCTGTGTGAATGTGATGCTTTGCTCATTTAGTGAATTAGGTCGTCATATAAACGTGGTGCCAGTGATCTTCTGGAATCATTTCTTTTCAATCTAAAAATACAATTATGGATTTTTTCATGATGATTTTAAATGTGTTTATTTTAAACACCAAATAAGTACATTTAATGAATAGATACATTCACTCTTGAACTACTTTATTTTTTTAAGTTTTTTGTTATAATAAATTATGTGTTTAAAAGAACTACCAAACTGTGTTAATAAACTATGTTGTAAAAATGAAGTCATTTCAGATTTTTGAAATAAAGATCCATTTATTTAAAAAAAAAAATGAATCTACAGTTGTGGGAATGAAAAAGCAGTTGTTATAATAATATTCAACTTACATTAGTATCATTATAAAAACACTTGATTATTATTAATAATACAATTTCAAATCAAATTTTCAATATCTTATTTATTCTTACATCGGGGAAATGTGATACTTAATTTATAAACATGGTATTCTCTGTTTATTTCCAGGTGCTTTGCGACAATATATTGACCATTTCAATGGATATTTGACTGGACTAGCAATTCTACCTGGGAAGACAGAGTCTAAAGAAGTCATTAGCTGCATATTTGCCTGCAAGGAGAGGTTGACCATCAATAAAGACACTATCCCCATGCATGAAATCACCCAAACTAAAAGTGGAAACCGTATTACAATTAAGGTTGGTCTTGTCTCATACACCTACTCACAGGACATTACAATTTTACAGACACACCCCATGCTTACTCTCAGATATATGCCACCACTATTCACAAACACTCCACAGCTACATGCTAACACACTCAAAAGAAGAATCACATTCTTCTCAAAATATACAAACACACCCACAAGAGCTAACTCATAATGCATTGAGTCATTGACACACGCACATATTCACAGTATCCCAGACATACATCATACCAAACCCACAGACATACTACCAAACACCCATTTCCATGAGCATATTCATAAACACATAAGAATGACATTGTATTTGTTCCTTCTTCATCTAGGGACCTCTTGATGAAAATGCTCTGTCGTACACCATGCAACAAATTGGTTATATCAACGAGAGGCAGTATCCAACTCCAGGTCAAAGGCCATTGACTATCACCACCAAGGCCACGTAAGTTGGATATCATATGTGGCAAAGACAAGCCAAACCAGTCATTTATCGCAAACCCTGTTTCAGAGATAATGACCAAAACATCATGGGATGTCAAAATTTTTTTAATCTATTTTATTTCACTAAACTAACTTTTATATTTCTATATATCATTCTATGCTGTTATTTTCCCCATTTTCAATGTTAAAACACAAATTTTTAATGATTTGGTGATGGTTTCTGCCTGAGAAATGCCTGAAATTCTGAACTTTAAAGGCTGATTTCTCAAATATTGTTCTTTAAACAGCTGTATGTTTAAACTTCTGTAACCTCATTACGAAATGTCGGATTTCAATGATTCTTTTACCATTTTATAGCTCATTTTTACTTTTTAACCTTGTATTAATAACTGAAAATCTATTTTTGCAATGAGTGACTGGTTTGACTTGTCTTTGCCACATATATACACCCATTTTTCAAGCCATTAGTAATAATTTGCAGGTTAAAATGAATGTGCTAAGGTGACAGCAGCAGTAATCATTATGTGTAGCTACCTTTGTGTGGTAGCTACCATGTACTGTGGTACCGCATGCTTCCTTTTGCTGTATAATTTTTATTTGTTATATTTAAATTTTTATTTTCCGTTAATTTTATTAGCTTATTGAATTTTACGTAGCAGTGCCATACAATCTTAACATGATGAAAGTGTTATTTGGAAAAATGCTCTAAATGTTTGTGTACCACAGCATAAAATATATATCTGGTTATGGTTTGTAAAAATAATTGTGCACTAACATCTAAAATTACATTTAGTAATAGTGTCTTGGCCAATCAACATGTGGTAGTGATATATGATATATATGCCTAACTGTCATTTCATCTGACTTATTATATTAATATAAGTTAACAACTAAGCATCAGAAACAATATTTTGGTTATAACCACGATAATCTAATACTGCTTTAATCTAATACTGCTTTAATCTACTAGTTGCGATGGACAGGCAGTGAAGATTCGTAAGGTGGAGTCGTACTTAATGGTTGTCCGTCCGTCCGAACCAACAATCATTCTTAGCGGATCCAATCACATTGCTCGCATGGCGTCCGACCTTGTCACTGGCATTCTACCATTGAGCGACATTAGCATCATTACCCAGTTGCAAGAAGTGGAGGAGATTGATGAAGAAAGTTAGTGTACACCATTCAGATATTTCTTGTTATGTGTTTGTATTCCAAAGTACTATGTATATATTTCACATCATGTGTATTATTCATCATGTCTATTTCTCCCTCATAATGAGCTAATTTTATGAATTATTTATTTTTTTAGCTGGTGAACAACTAGATCCTCTGACAGTTGCTCAGAATCTTGATTCCTGCTCGGTTGTGTTGGATTCGCTCATGTTATCTGAGCATGAATCACTTACCATCTCATATGAGCTTTTGGAACAGTTTAATCTGAAGGTTATCAGCTCATCTAGTGGTCTCATTGTGAAAGGTGCGTTTGCTGTCAATTACACATGCAATAGAATCTTGTCAATGCTATTCTCATCTAGCATTATAATTTCCATCATTGTCTTCATTATCATTTTCATTACTGTCATTTTTTTAAATATAATCCCATGATCATCATGAGTATTATCATCATTGTAACCATCATCATCATCTGCATCATTTATTCCTATCCTTATACTGTTTCACCATCAGCATCATCAATTTTATCATCATCGTTATTCTTTGTCCTCAATATCATTATCATCATTGCTATTATCATCGTCATCTCAATAACTTCATCATTGCTATTATCTTCATCATTACCAGTATCATCTATATTACCACCATGATCATTATCATAATCAATATTATACATAATCATCATTTTGATCTAAATTGTTTAGGTATTCAAAGTATTGAAAATTACGAAGAAGTACTACACGACATCATCTACACAAACGATCGAGGACATGACTACAGAATCTTCACGGTACAATGCACCGAGTTAAATGGACGCTACGTTAGTAATGAATTTATGGTTCAGGTATGTTAGTCATCCAATCTATTTTTCATATTCTCTATATTGAAGTGGAATTTTCACAAGCTTATTTCATATTTGTAGTTTGAGCAAATTCATATTTCCATCTGTTGTTAAAATATTGCAAATATTGTGCTCCACCATTGTTGCAATGATCACCTCAGTTTAAGAGAGAGAACACAGATGCATCGGACATCTTTGTAAATTAACATAGATATTAGAAAACCAGTAATTTTTGCAAAATAAAAAAGGTTGATCTTCGCAAGGATATAAGTCTACTAGAACCTGCACAGACTCTGTTATTTGGGTAACAGGATCCATGATCTAGTACAGTAGTAGTAGTCAGACAAATTGAACTTCAGTCAATCAGTAATCATCAGAATCAGTGCATTGTGAATGATGCTACCTCAAATATGGACCGACTTTCTGAAAATTGGGTAAAAAGTGTTTAATGGACGTAATCTTGGAAGTTGTTTGAAAAAAATGTGCTTGGAATTACAAGAAATCCAGTTGATTATTGAACTACTGGTGTTGACACAGAATAAGATGTTTTCCAAATAAACTTAGCTCTAGCATTTATTATGTTTTGTCACTTGCTCAGCAAGTTGATGATTACTTTCACAGTCAAGGTTTAGCGAACCGAGGCACACACGTGTGTATCGTATTAATACAGCTTTATTTCAACCACTTATTTGAGTAAAGTAGTTCTTCAGGTATCGGAGAGGATTACATCATGTTATATAAATATTATTTAGGACACTGCCTCCATCATTCAAATTGATTCTTGAACATAAATATAATTAGTTTTTTGTTTTTGTTTTTTTTTTTTGTAGTTTTGTATTTCTAATATATGGTTACCTAATTTGTTTTAGATTTGTTTTATATAGATCTTACATATTAAGTATAGTTCTTTGGTCTAGTTTTTCTTTCGTTCTAATCATTGAAATTAATAATTTTGTACAATATTAATCAAAATAGATTTGATATAATAGTTGGGATAATTATAGGCTTTGTGGGTATAGTCCTCTTGGTAGTGATCCTACTGTACCCTGCATTCATCTTACAGGTATTACTCACTCATATTAAGGGTTTTAGGTTTTAGTTCTTGTGGTTCTGTTCTGTGATGCCCTGTATTCATGATGGAAGACTATAGATCTAAGCGGCCATTCCAAGGCAAATCAAGGTAACTTAAAAATATAATTGCAGTTACCTTGTTTTGCTATGGGACAACCGTAGGCTGTGTGGATCAAGTCACTGTCAATCTTGTACCCTGTGATTATGTACTCTGTATAAATACAGGCCTCTTTGATCTAAGCATTCTTGTTCTTGAAAAATGTAAATAAAATTATTTCCTCTCTTTTAGTTGACAATTCTGCACAAAAAATTAACAGCTAACCCATTGCCAAAGCAAATGGTGCCAAAACTAGTAAAGCCGAGGTTACAAGGTCCAGAGCTGCCGAATGAGCTGTTGAAACGCAAAGATCACATGATGTTCAAAGCAGCCAGTAATGGACAAGAAGATATCTCACAGAAAATAACATCAAAGAATTATAAGTCAACAGTTGGTGGCTCTAGTAAGTACATAAGTATTGTTTTTTATATCTTCATTTTTCATTTATTTATAATTGATTTTTATAAAATTTAATCTTAACATAGAAATAGATTCAGCAGTTGAAGTCAGGCTCTGCTGGAAAAAAAATTGATATTTTGTACAGTGAAGTTTCATCAAATATGCTTTTTGCGTCTTAGAAAAAATTGTGCAGCTTATCGAAAAATTTTGTTCAAAAGAATAGAAAAAAGCAAGGATTTGTGTAGTTAGTTTTTTTATATTTTTGTTTCTTTCTGACCTCATTTTTCTAATGAAACATAGATATTAGCTCTTGAGATATTTTGAAAACCCATGTGTTTCACATCAATTATTTCTGACTCAAGTTCATTGCAAATTCTTTTGTCTGCAATTCATTGCAAGTTCTTTTGTTCTTAGCGTGATCTTTGTCCATCTTCTTCTGTATTCCTGTTTCTATTACCCCAAGCTGTATGCAGATGCTTTGTATAACGTCAATTACAGTTTCTATTGCGTTGCAAAATTTTCATGGTGTTTTTTTTTCTCTTAGTCATCTTTGACTAAAGGCATAGAAATAGGAGATGTTTCAAACAAGTTATCATTCTAATGTTGAAGGCTCAAATGATTTTTTATTTGAATAATATGTCAGTCTTATTTTAAAGCACATATTGCTAGCAGCCCTAGGCCCCTCTCATTATGCACCCCGGTCTTTTGAACGCATATTAGCTCCCTAAGGCGAATCTTCTATAATGTTGTAACTAAAATGTGACTGCATGGCATTCAAGCATATCAGGTACAACATGGATGTATTACCTTGTCCATGAAAAGAACCAAAAGGTCAGAAAAGAACTAAACACTGATCTATGGTTGATTTTTACCATTGCACCAACAATGTGAGGTTCTTTGTTGAATGCTGAATATGGCTTAAGCATCAAGGTAAGTTTTTAACAGTATCATGAAGTAATTGACAAGTAAACTCCTACTTGCAGTGGAAAATTAAAACACAACATTTGATTTAATCATCTTGTTACTTTTGTGAAAGATACAAACGCCTGTGTTGAGCTAAAGCAACTAAGACATTTGAAAAGCTTACAATCAGTTAAGGAATTTATTAGCCTTGCCCGTAAAAAATAATACTAATAATAATAATAATAATGTAATATTTATATAGCGAATATTGCACATTCCCCTTAGCACTTTAAACAGAATTTATATAATTATTAGGTAAATAATACCATTCTTGTGTTCTTTCCAGACCTTTGTAAATTAGTTTTGAAATGATTTTGTATTAAGTAATTGAAAACATTTTCTGTTTTTTTGTGTGTATAATTTGAAGTTAATATCTTATTTTGTACTTTGGTTATATATAGAAACTTGCATTATGCTATAAGTATAATTATAACTAGAAAGTGATCTATTCAATGTCTTGAATTTCTTAGGGTTTTTCCATATTTTATACAAGACCATAATATCCTTAATCAATTGAAGCAGCTGTCCTTTGACCTGACTTTGTCATATTCAGCGAGTATGTTGATCTAAATGAGGTCACATGCTACATGTCAGCCAATCATAGGAGAACCAGGAGGATGAATTATTCATGATAAAAATTATGGAAGTTCGTGACAGAAATTTTATTATCAGCTTAATCTCTTGTTCAATTTGTGCACTAACACTTAGATAGTAAATTGATAATTAGTATCTAATTATGCATGAGTACATTCTGTCAAGCAAGAAGCTTGAAATATTTGTGCATTTGTTCATCATTTTATCTTGTCCTCAATCTAACCTTCCTTGAAGTACACCTTCTTTATATTGTTAGTTTTTTTTTTTTTTTTTTTTTTTAGGATATATTAATATATTATTTCGAAAAAAAATGTTTTTTTAATTACTTTTTCCATTTTTTAAATTATTTTGTTAATGCCATATCTAGCATAATTAAGGAAGGCTTAATTTATTCGGGCAATTTTTATAATTAAATGTGTTTATTTTTGTATCAAGTCAGTCAATAATTATTACTAAATCATTATATTATCGCTCATTCTCTTTCCCCATATTTTGTTTAAATATGATCCGGTAAATTCTTATACAAGGGAAACAAATGAGTTACATGTGGAGTGTTAATAATCTATTGACATTGTTGCAAACCCATTTTACTCTAGTTATATATTCTTAATACCAACTGATCCATGCTAATGCCATAAATGGGTTTTCCATGTAGCAAGTGACATTTCCAGTAATCCAGAGGAAGGGTTTTCCATGTAGTGAGTGACATAAACAGTAGCAGACAGAATGGTTTGTTTAGGTTGCTACGCCAGAAGCCTGCCTTGACATCACATCCTATTCGTCACTCTTAGTATTTCAATCTCAACGATTCGTGTCACTTCCTTCTGAGCGAACTTAGAGTGTGTCTCCTTTTCCTGTTCTGTAGTAGAAACCTCCATCGTTGATTGTTCTCCTGTATATAGTGTGTTTAAGTCATTATACCCATTTTCGCCATTGTGTAAATTGTTAAGATGATGCTTAACATTTTAGCTCAAGGTATGTTGTCAATGGAATATGTTGTTAATTTTCATAATAGATTGGTAACTTTATGGTTAGAATCACATGACTATTATTTCAAGTCGTATACTTTTATGCTCGTTAGGATCAGAAGTTAGTGTGACACGCAAGCATCGGGATTCTCCATACAGCCTCACAGCTGGCTTGCTCATGGACTTGTGGGAAAGAAGCTGAGTATAAGCTGTTTAGAAATTTATTGAGCAATGGACAGGAATTAAGTAATAGTTAGGAAGGAGAGTTAGATAAATGGAATCCTTGTTTTATTTTGGATATCCATTAATATGTTGTTATTCATTACTGTCTGTATTAAAATAACATTCTTCTAAACAAAGATCGAAAGAAATTCATGAAATCACATTATAAAAAGATGGTAAATTAAGAGAATAAATGCTATATGAGTGTCCAATGAAAGGTTATGTAATATTTTTTACAGAATGGCATTAATAAATGTTTTTTCCTTGATTCATTTTCCCACTTTAGCAAGACCAAAATGCATTTTTAATTTCTACTTGTATTTTTCTCATGATAAATGTCTGAGTTAAATATTTCTACACTATTTCTCAACATAAATGAAATAGCATGGATTTAAAGTAAATAACTTGTTTTTCTAATTGTGTTGTTGTTGGTATTGTTAATTGCTTTAATGAAGGGGAAGGCTAAGCTTTAATGTATATTTTTTCATGATATTGCCTTTTACAAATACAAACTGAAGTCAAGTGTAGAAAGCATTACTGTATGCTTACAAATTGGCCTTCGCCTTTGAACCTTCTTGTCTTTGCTATATTCTCAACTTTAATCTTATAAAATCAGTTTCAGTTTTACATTAATTTACATCTATGTTTAATACATTTAGTCTAAAAAGCACTTTTAATTCTTGCAGTTCTATTAAGTTGATAGAAAAGGATGAAAACAAAACTTAATTAATGGATAGTATGTTGTGTAGATACACAGAATATTGCTAGTGTAGTAGATTGCTAGTTTCAGTAATGCAAACGCAACTCCAGTATTGATTATACATTTTACCTTTGAATTGACACAGCAAAGAGAAAGTGACAGTCATGTTATACTTAACACAACAATTAGCTAACATTACCTATTTATAGCTTTAAATGAATCTTACATAACAAAGAAAAAAACTTCAGTTAAAAAGTGAATTGAAACAATTAAATTTTTAACACATTTTTAAGGAATTGTAATTTCCATCATCATTTATATTATTGTAGGGGATAACTCTGTGAAAGAGCCATTGAAAATTCAAAGGAACTTTAACATGATATCATTTTGTACGTATTGTAATTTTGTATTGTTTTTGTATTTTGTTAATTTACACCGTAGGACACAGGTGGACAAAGTGCAACCCGACAGCGATTTATTTTTTGTGGCCGCGAAAATGAATTAGAAACCCTATATGTGTGGCCCACCCAACATTTTTGACTAGAAAACATCTTGTTTTTTTAAGGCTGACACCGATCATCTATAAAAAGTAATGTTAAACCTGAGAATAGATTGGTATAAAATCAGTGCATGAAGGTTTTTCGAAACACACTGTAAACATCAACCGATTTTCATGTCTGTAGGAGATGTTGCTGAAGTTTTATTAGAAAGTTGAAAGCGAACTTAATACTGTAGTCCATGACATGCTATTATTGTGTAACATATTGTGATATTGATGTTTATCAACTGGAATTGCATGATAGCAGCTAAGGTTACAATACTGTAACACCATTATCTCATCAGGACCGTAGAGGTATAAATTTAAAATTCATCTATAGCAGGACATGCTGTATAAGTGACTGACATTGTCTGGGACATTGACTTGTGTTGTGTGTCAGGTAGAGATATTATGTAGAAAAGTGGGAATCATTTACTCATTACTATCCAAGTAATAATAAATAAAGCTATAACATGTGTTTGTGACTACCATAACTTTTTATTGATACCACTTGTTTTGGATACTTCTGAGGCTTCTTCAGGTGTTAATATTTACTGAAATGTGTGGTTCCTGTTGACTCATCCATTCTGGTTTACCTCCATGGCAACATAAAGCTAATGTTTATATTTATTGTCTCATGTTGTACTACCAGTGTGACCACCTTGGAAGGTTTTGTGTATTTACATTATGCACCTTTTGTCACTCCATGTACACACTAGCCTTAGATCAGTTTCTTTTAGTTTAATGTTCAGTACAGTATATTCAGTAGAGGTACAATCGGTTTGTAGTACAATTGGTTTAAAGTAAATTTGGTTGCAGTACAATTGGTTGCGGTACAGATGGTTGAGGTGTAGCAGTTATATTTAGCTTCTTCAAATTGGTAGCCTCATTGGTTTACTGGAACTTATTTTTTAGTTGAAATGTTAATTTTGTCTTTTAAATGTTGTTTATTTCATTTTTTTAAAAGTCAATAGTATTGTTAAATGTTATAATACATTGTAATGTTTTTGTTTAGTCAATGTCATATATTGCTTATTTCTTTTGTTTTATCTTAATCGGTCAATGTCATATATTGCTTATTTCTTTTGTTTTATCTTAATAGGAAGTTCCTTAAGATAGTATATAAACAATTAATTTTTGTTTATATATAAATCTATGTCATGAATATTCATGAGGTACATTTATGATTGATTGGTTATCAATGATTTGTATATTTCTTATATGATGAGACTATTAGTTTAGTACTTGATTTGATCATTTGTGTTAAGGCAGATGTGAAGACAAGAACTGAGGTTAAAGGAAACCCAAAGGTGAATTAATTTACTGTCTTCAAGTGGCTTCACATGTAAATCATACATTGGAGATTTCAGGATATTTACATTTTCATCTGGCATATGAGGATGTATAAGACTCACTAGAGAATATATGTAAAAATGTTGTACAGCTAATGTTATAATTGATAAATGATTATATATATTTTTGGTTCATAAATAAATACTGTAATTTCTTTTTACTTGTTTATATTTCAGGTAGCATTATGACAGCGTTAATAGTAATTTGCGTCGGTTTCCTGGCTTTTGTTGTTTTCCTTGGATTGTTCCGCATTTACATGGTCCATCGCAATAGTGGTGAAGAGAAACAGGACATGGACTGGGACGACATGTCATTGAATATCACAATAAACCCAATGGACGTAAGTTAACCTTCTCAATCACAATATTAAAGTTTATTATTAAATGTAACCTATATTAAAGATTATTATTAAATGTGACCTTGAGAGCCATAGCAGTTAGATTATTTTTGCTGTCTACCACTTACAGTGAATATCACATGTTATTAAAATGTAGGCCTACTTACAGTGATACATTGTGTGAAATTAACAGAAGAATTATCGCCCATTAAAGATTAACATACAGTAATAATTCTCTCGCCGATTCTTACACCACATTGACATTTCCCTCCCTAGTCATTTTAAAACAGTGCCCGCAGTACGTTGTTTGTGTATGGTACTATAGAAATAAAAGCCCAATACTATTAATACATGAATCTACTTGTGAAGGTACGTTAATGAGGCTTTCCGCTAACCCCTACCAATGGTTACTAAAGATCACACAAAAGGACAGCCATTCAAGGAGAAACATGTGTGGGTTAAGCAACATGTATTTTTGGCTACCTTATAGAATAACACATTCATTCGGTTGTAAGTTGATTGATACCCCTGAAAGATCGACTGTTTTTGTAACGCACATTCCGTTGTGCCATCAGTGTTGTTATGGTTAATTCCCATAAAAAATATAGTAAAAAAGTAAATAATTAAAAATTTAGCTTTAGAAGTCTATTCTCTCATTCTCCTTAATCACCTTCCCATTAATAATACCCCATACATTGTATGCCATTGTTCTTTAGTCCATTAGAAACAAAGCACAAAATATTTTATTATTTTTTTATTCTGATTGTTGTTTAATATTGTCTTTACTTTAAATACTGTTGACATTTACAATTTAAATTAAGAGTAGCAGATCATACTAATTTATGCTAAAATCAATGATACAAAAAACCCCAAATCTTCCCTTTGCACTTACTCTATCAAGGCCAACAACCTCATTATAATTAGCCTGTAATTCTAAAAATGAAACATGATTAGGCCTAGATAAGTGGTTTGTGTAACTTTACTGAAAGTGAAGAATTGATTTCAGTCTGAATTTTATATGATCCAGATGGTATCTGATACAACATGTTTTCTAATGCATGGCAGTGATAACCATGGTATCTGCAAATGATTGATAATAGGCAAGCAGAGTGATAACTTTGTTCTCTGGTTTCTCAATCAATGTGATTACATTGTTCTTCCTAGTTTAAAAAACACAATATGAAAAAATATAAATGTTAAAAAGAGAATGAAAATGTTTTGCAATACATACCAATTTTATAACTGGAGAAAACAAAATATGAACACATTAATTTAGCTATTAGGTATCAGAACAATGATTTTATTAGACCTTTCTCTAGCCTTTAAAAGTAGTAAAATATTTTCAGGCTATTTCCTATTTTGTTCTTCATGTTTGAATTGAAAAAAAATTATCAGATATTTGAGGAGGATGTTAATAATATTCCCTTTGTTTTCCTTTGTACTAAATGAAATTGAAGCAATGATAATTAACACTTGTAGGTAATACATGTTGAATTAAGATAATAATATTAAGAACTTTTGTCTCTTTCAGCCTGAAAATGCCCAAGAAGTAATGGAAGATACGGACAGTAGCGAGGATGAGGATGAAAGTGCCAACAATAGCGACGAGTCTGAAGCAGAAGAGGAAGAGGAGGTTTTGGAACCAGTAAAAGGATCTCCATTGGAATGGGATGATGGCAACTTAAAAATGTAATTGGGACAAGTTTTCAACAACAAAGAAAATCTCAACTTTATATGTTTCTTATTATCATACCCCTACAAAAATATATCGATAAATGTTTTTAAATTATTTTTCCTTTCATAGCACTGTTCGACATTTACATATTTGGTGTTTTAAGTGTTTTTAGTGGTATAAATTGAGCAGTGAGGCAGGGGAAGAAATGATGTAATTTTTGAGGAAAAAAAATGAATGTATTAATAATAATAATATAATGTAAACAAAGGTTTTGAGAATTGAATGATCAGCATTGCTTTTATTCAATTGACTCAAGTTTGTGGAGGTAGTCTCTGTAGGTGCTCTCATTCGTATATATTGTAAATTTCCCTATGAAGAAGAATAAGCAATCCAAGAAGTATTAAAATATGTTCTTGTTCTTAATGGTTACCATACTGCTGCCTTGATTGTAGCCCTTTCCTGTTAATACACTTTTAAACACAAAATCATAAAGGCCAAGTTCGTTCCAGTAACCTAAAATCTTTTGGTATAGATTATTATTACCGTAACTATATGGAAATATCGGATCAATATAATTTTCACTTTTGGATGTGCTTAAATATATGCAGATATTTAAGCATGTCCTTTTTCTAATTTATACCGTAATATTAATTTAGTAAGGAGTGGGTTTTCTTTATTCATCATGGGAATTATACCGACAGCAGTATGGTAATCGTAGAACATAGAATTTGACTAAAAAGGCAGTTGATCCTATTATACAGGAAACCGTATTTTTAAAAACCAAAGCGGCCTCATTTATTTGACAAGCCGAAAAAAAAGCTTTAGGTGGCGGGTGACCAAACTATCTCACAGGACTTTGCCGTCTTTTTCCATTGTTATATCATCCCAATGTACAAAGTGGGAAATAAAGTGTAGGATAATGAGTAAAAATGTATCTTGAATAAAGTATGTACAAAGAGAGAGTTGAGTGTTATGAAAGGTTCAACTTCAGTGGGGTGAGGGAAGCAAGATATTCAAGAAATTATGTGTTAATTATTGTAAGATTTTAAGTAATAATATTTTTTTAAAGTCAAGATTGCATGTAATTTTTGAGTGCATTTGTTAGTTTGGTGAGTTGCTTTCTTCTCAATACTCATATTGCTTCAGTCTTGAGCTTCTTGTGATGGAGAACAGTAAGATATTTTTTTGAAGAAAGGGCAATTTTTGACCATTCCTAGAATGTTTTTGAAAAATGATTGACAAATGATTATGAATATATAGGAAGATGATTACAGTATTTTTTGAGAAAGGGAAAAAGTAATTTACTGGACTTCTTATTTAATTAATTCTTAATTTCTATTGTAATAAAAAGTGTGTTTTAATGTGAATTGGTTTTTTGTAGAAAAGTACTTGCCAATATTTCATTTGTTATCTATATATTTATGAATTTTGGTAAAATAGGAATACAATACATGTATGGATAAAAAGTAAAAATGACAAGATAGAAAGTGGTTTAATTGGATAAATACTAAAGTAGAAAGAGGAACAAACTTGTCCAGACAGAATGTTAGCAAGTAACACTTTTGTGCATCTCTATTTAAAATGTTAAAGTTTATTGGAAAAGTTGTTTTATTCACGTGTCGCACGTTGAATGGTTTTATTGTCAATTAAGATTTAAATTTGTTCATCGTTGTTTTCTTGTCTTAAATGTTCTGCTTTCAGTATTAAAGTGTAGAGATGTTAATGTTGGAGTATTTTTTGTTCTTATTAATTTTATTAATTATTCCTTTTTTATTATATATTGCAAGCTACATCAGATATAAATGGGGTGTACAGTAGTAAATTAAGCATTAAATAAGGCCATAAAATTAATCCACTAGTGTTATCTGTTTTAACAAATACGATATCAATTATTGAGTTTACTATAAATCCTTAGAACGCACTTTTTGTATATTATGACAGATTTTAGGCAAAACAAAAACTGTTTTGATTTTATGTATGTTTGCTAGCAAACATTGCGTGTAATCTTTCATAGATAAGAATACTGTAGTAATGGTAAATAAGATAATGTTATTGCTATAATTATTATACAGTAATAAAAAACTGTGTTGTCTCTAGATCTTAATAATGTACCTTGTGGCTTGTAATATATCAATTCATTCGCTGTATATGTTGTTAGTCGAAAAGTTCTACAAAAACACAAATATGAATTACGATTATAATCATCCAAATCAAAAATTGTATCCAAAAATACATCAAAATTTATCTCTTTTACTTGTGACATTAAAAAAAAAAAATCAGTCATCTTTTGTGGAGCTTTTCATCAACTTTTATCTAAAATTATACAAAACTAAGGAAAAAATATGGGTGTCGATTTAATACTATATATATTATTCCTTTCAAGAGAAACTTTCATGGTTTTTTTTTTTTCCAACATGAAGCCTATTTGCAGGTGGATAATTATTCTCATTATTTTCAATTTCCTCATTAAATCATTTCAATGTAAACAAATTATACTCAAAAAGCAAGAATTTGAAAAAGATTGGATTGAGAATGTTGAAATACGCTCCGATAAATGCATGTTAGTGCAGGAATAGAGAACCGTGCCTGTAGCAGTTGTACATGAAATTTCCCATTTTTTTTTGGCAAAGTTAAGTTTTCTCCAATGTTTCAACTTATTCAAGGTTCTCCAACAAACAGGTTAACTTTCAGAATGGACTTGTATAATTTATCACTTACTATTTTTTGCTTTATCTTTCTGTGTGTAAAGTGGCTTTATTAAAACTTCTCAATTTGATTGACCCCAAAAAGTGACTGATTTTCTTTCTTCTGTTGTCAATGTTTCTTCAAATGCGAAATATATTAATATATTAATATTGATATTAATGCCAGACTGGCAAAGGCAAACAGCGCCTTTTGGCAGGCTGTTCAAAAGACTGGAACATTAAGCATCTGAAAATGCACAGAGAGCACATCTTATATACTTCCGAGTCCTGGTCATAGGTCATCTGTAAATGCCACCTACGACTCCTTAAGCGCTGCCTCCACATCATCCTTATGGACGTATTTTCAGGATGGAGGATCATCACTTGCCCAAGATTGTGCTGTATGGCAAACTCTCTTCTTGTAATTTGACTTGTAAGCCACTAACATGCATTCAGTAGACAAGGATCTTCATAAATCTTGGTTGGGAAGTCAAGCCAATGATGTCAAAAGTTTTTATTTATCGGACTACTTGCCATTTTGACCCAGAAAGATTTGGGAACTCGCAGCTATTATGTAAAAAAATGTATGTGTATTGTGTAGGGGCATGTGTGTGTATGTGTTTCGGTGTTTGTATATCTGCATGTGCAGGTATGTTTGTATATACAGTGTATATAAATGTATGTAGTTTTACATATGTGTATGTATGTAGGCCTATGTGTTTGAATATGTGCATGTATGTATGTATGTATGTCGATTATCCATCACCTACCCCATGGCTTTTTTGGACATGACTTTCGTTAGTGGTATACACTTTTATACGTTTATCATGAGTCTTATAGTAGCCTATAAATTTTTGGAGGAGTGGCTCAAACATTTCGGGCAATATACATCATACATTAATTGGTAGCACGTAGTCCGGAAGGAACGACAGGATACCAGGGGAGCCTACTTGCACAACCACCTGAAGAAGTGGTGCGAACATCCAACATACTTGCACACATCAATGCATGCCTGAAGATGGTCCAGATCAAATCAAAAATTACATAAAAAAGGCAAGTCCCCTTATCGCATTACGTTATTGGGTCCAAATGTGATAAATATAAACTGCATGTTTTTTACAGTGTTCAGCATCTCTTCCTAACCTCAACTTTGCTTTAGTTTGTGGCGATTCTCGAGCATTTGGTGAGATACTTCGCATATAGGAGGCCTCTCTTAAAGCTGTCGCGCTTGAAGTAATATAAAAATTCGTGCCCCGGGCGCCAAAACCTCTAGCTACGCCACTGCTTGTTTGTATGTGTAAATCCGGGTACTCAATGCATAGCACGGTTGTCGGCCGACGTGATTCTAGAACGCAACGCCATGATGCACGCACAACAGATTGTTTTAAATGACATCAGCTCAGACTGCCAGTGACAATCAACAGCGGCGTTGCCTCCACAAGTAGCAGAGTTGGATTCATAGTACGAATGTCGTATGACACAGCGATTGCCTGGCTTTAGACATTTAATAAAAATTTTAACACAGTGTAGAACAAAAGGACAGCAAATAATGAGCAAATCATTTTGTTCCAACATATAATGTGTTATATTTATTAAATTATGAACGATGCATTTTGAACCACAGTATAACAAGCACGTTTTGAAAAGTTCTGAAAGACTTGTTTTCAAAACTTTAAAAAGAAATAATTTTTGTGCCATGATAACATTTTCAATACAAAAGCATAAATTTCTAAAGATTCAGTTAGCATATTAATATTTTGAACAATTTTGAAAAGTTTAAAGTACAGTATGGCGATAACCTGTTTTTCTGTGGACGAAGTTCTGAAAGACTTGTTTACAAAAATTTAAAAAGAAATAGTTATTCTATCGTGATAATACTTTCAATACAGAAGCATCGATTTCAGATAGCATATTAATAAAGTAATAAAGTAAAAGTGAATTCATATTAAAAGTAAATTTCAAAAATAAGTTTTAGATAGGACATTAGCACCAGTGTTTAAAAATCTTAAAATGTAAATACAGTATGGAATAAATATTTTATATGGATGCATTATGAAAGACTAAAAAAATCTATTAATTTTTCAAATTCCCTTAATAATGTGCTAGAAAACTCAGGTCTAGAAAACTCGTATCTCACATCTGAGTTTTCTAGATACAAGATACAACATATGAGTAGAATTATATGAAAGAACAATACCATTAAATGTAACACAACATAATTATACAAGGATATATAAATTGTTAAAAAAATAAAATTATATACAGTAATGAAAGAACAAGACCATTAAATGTAACATAACATTAATATATATATATATAAGATAAATAAAATTATGTATAGTAATGAAAGAACAAGACCATTAAATGAAACAATGTAATTATTTACAAGGATATATAAATTAAAAAAATAAAATTATATAATGAAAGAACAAGACTATTAAAGGTAACATAACATAAATATATACAAGGATATATTAAATTAAAAAATTAAAACCGAAAGGTCCACTGATTAATCTCAGATGAGATAGTATAATACATACTCCAAGTATCGAAATCACGATGGCGAGCATTTCGATACTTAATTAAGTTATATAAAAATTAAGTTATATAAAAATTAAGTTATATATTGAAAGAATGAGCACCATTAAAAATATATTTCAAAAGAACCCAACTGTGGTGGATGGCAATTAGTGAATGCATGCAAGACATTTCCTATATTGCACAACAATACAAGTCTACTGTAGTAGTGCGGGAAAGTCCCTTTTAATATTTCTTTCAAATTCTGCATAAAATCTATGCAACTTGTACATGGCTCAGCATTTACCATTCTTTCCCATTGCAGCAAATTTATTAAACTTATTTTACAGTTAAAGCAACATGAGCACAAAACTTTCTCGTTGTAAAGACTCAAAGGCAAGAAAAATTTAGGCATTGACAGAACAACTAAAATTTCAACATTAGCAGCTAGTACATGTATAACAGTAAGCACATATTCTATTCTCCTAATATTGACTGGCACTTGATTGTTTTTTTTTTTTATTTGACCTTTTTCAGTAAATGGTAAAATATTTACAGATTATATGCTGAAGTTTATTTATTAAAATATGTTAGCCTTTAAACATCCATTGAACGATAAATAAATGAATCTCGGATATTATGGCTTGAGAGAGGTTTGTCAACAGAGGGCACTATGATTTTTGAATTTGCACTAATTTGTACCATAATTTTTCTGATATTTCTGCTTTTACTTCAACAATTTTTTTGTCATTTTATAAAACCAGAATTTTGAAGAAAGACAAGATTTTGAATTGATTTGAAAGAACTATAGTTTAGAGGAAAGACAGGCTTCTTCATAACTTTTTGCATTAAATAAAACAAAATTTTGCTTGTTCACAAAATCAACAAGCTGCGTTAATGGACAAAGACCATCCTGATTTAGTTGGTTACGGCAGAAACGCAGTTTATCAGTCATGTCATCCCCATTGTAGAGTACACGAATAAACTTTTTGTTAAATTTAGACCATGCCTCAATTATAATTCGCGCAGCATAATTTGGCCAACGAAAATCAGGCAGGCCCAAGATAGCTAGAAATGGTGTGATTGTTAAATCGTGACCAGAATATAGAGAAAAACGATGCTTGGTTGAGTTGAAAGATATTGCATCTGTTATCTCCTTCAGCAGTGGATACATAAACAATCTTGCGTGCTTCATGCTTAAGCTGTCGTCATGTGATTTCAGGTCATCTTCTAACTTATCGACGTATTTAAAAACCTCCTGTACTTGGTCCAGATCAAGACACTTGGTAGGACCACATGGCAGCTTTTTATTATGACATAAAAATGAAGTAAAGTGATCAAGAAGTGCAAAGAAGTGTGGTAATTTCGGTGAATGTTGGTCATCACCATACAAAATATTTTTAATGCTCTTTGTGATTTTGCGTGTGTATTCATGATCGATTTTATGTCTTGATTTCTCTAAGGACACCTGGTTAAGAAGATTGTGCACAGCAGAACAATCACACATCTTCCCCTCGCAGAAGTTCAGTGCACGAGTAGTCTTCAGTGCTGGTGTCTTGAGAATCTGATCTTCCGGTAGTAAACCATAGAGTAAAGCGATGGCGCTCTGCATTGTACGAGAATATGTGGTTGAATGCAAGCTCATAACATCCTTGTAGTTAACAGCTTCAGGGTTTAAAAGATTGTGGGGAGTATAAGCATTCCGCAAAAACTCTCCAATTGCCAAATGTTGTCGCCAACCATTTGGAGTCATTTGTGATGTGCGGCATTTCGAGCTGTCAGATGTCAAGGCAGACAAATAGTTCAGGTTTATGGAACTGAAAGCGCTGGTTCGCAATGACGTCTTCAACTTCATATCGGACAACATCAAACTATCCTCTCTCTTTAACAGATCTTTCCACTCATTCAAGTCCGTCGCCAACAACTCAAACATCTGGTCAGGTATCGTTTGGGAAACCATCATTAAGTTGCAGTCTATGTCAGCAGTTTCCATACCATTACTCTCTAATGGGGTTCTGTCACCATGACGTATCAAAACATGAACACTTTGAAGAGCATATCCTGGTACTACAATTCCTGTAATAAGAATTTAGGAGACAATGACTGATGGTACCAATCGCTTTTATAGAAGGCCACAAAAAGTTTATTTTGCTTAAACCCTCTTAAAAATTGAGGTTCAACTCTATTTCTTTACCTTCTTTGCCTGTAGTAGTCAACTCAGGTGGGTTGCAATACCCAACTACTCGCTCTCGTAAATAGGACAATGACGGATCATTTTTAAAATTATCGGCGTAGTATCCTGGCAGCCATTCTTCGTTGGCTTCTAGAAATTGAAATAACAAGTGATAACCATAATTTTTTTAATTCAAAAATAATAATTAAATTAATACAAAATTATTTGATATTAAAAAGTATGCAAAAGAATTACTTGTTTGTTGTTGTTCAGAATTTAGTATATGCTCTTATTGTAAACTTGAGTGCATTCTTACAGCTGTGGGTGCAGTGAAAATAACAGCAGGTTAAAAACATAAGCTCAGATTTTTTTTATATCATCCATGGGTGATCCCTGCCCGTGGCGGATCCAGGAATTAGAAAGGGCCCAGGGAGGGAATTTCACAGATGGAGAGCCTACAGTATATCACCTCTACCCATGGTTGGGGCTGAGGTAAGAAAATTAAAGTTTATGGTACCTCTAGATGGCCTGAAATGGTACTCCCAGAATTATAATTTGAATATAATCATCTTTTCATTTTTTTTAAAATTTAAAATAACATACGAGAACGTAACAAAGACTTGTTGCTATACTTTGACAGCCTGGCTAGAACACGTCCATCTTCAAACAGATTGGTTCTCTGTAGTTTGTGCGGCGGTTTTGTGAAAGACTGTTCATTCCTAGACCCAGTTTTGTCAGTCCAGTGAACAAATTTCACAGGCATTACGACTGTGGGTCCAGTAGGAATTTTCTTAGAAGGCACATTACTTAATGAATACCCTGTAACAAAAAGATGGACATTTTAAGTATGTAATAATAATACAGTATATGTAAAAATAAAAATATAGTATATCAATCAACATGTACTTTTAATTTTATTGATTTTATTTTTTTTTACTGTTATGAAATAGCAATATTTGTGCAAAATCATTACTCTTCGAGCAGATTTTAAGCCCATGCACTATCCCCATCTGTAGGCCTACCCCTAACTCACTCTTCCACTCTGAAAATGCTTTTCTTCAAACACTAAGGTAATTTTAGCAGACTCCTTTTATTTGGGGGAAATAAACCAAATAAGTATTAGATGATATTGATTTAATATACTCACATGAATAGAACAAGAGAAAAAAACAAGCTACAATTGCACTTGTTAAATAACGCCATACTATTCTACCATTCATTATTCCAGCTGGTTGCTAAGCTTCAAAGCTCATGGAAAACACTTCCACTAAAAGCCTGTAGACAAGCAAAAAGCTAAATTAATTTACATATACTGTACTAAAATATTATGATAATTCAATCCAGTTTGAGTGTCTGCCATTAAATCTAGCTTACAATTAATCAACAGTTGATGATTTATTATTACACAAATTATTAGTACAGGAAATATAGCAAAGCTAGACAAATATTATTATTAAATATCATAATGGGTACATCCTGTAGCATACCTTGTACAGTACCTTATGTAAATTTGACAATATATGAACAATTAATTAATTTAAATTGAAAAGATGTTTTTTATTTTTAAAATATTTCAATAATCACATTGTTTTTTTTTTTCCCAGTAAGTCATCAAATTATTAATAATAATGATGATGATAGATGATGATGATGATAATAATAAATAATAATAAAGCAAAATGGACATTGCACAGTATATAATACCTAATATAATTGTTCATAGGCACATACAATACATACTTTAAAGTTCAAATTCAATGTTAAAAATTTTAAACAAAACATGAAGCAGGTACACAATGAAAAATCATCATGTTCTTTTAACATATTACATGTGTGCCGTGGATTTACATTACTATTGTACAGTACATGCCAACATTTATTAGCTACGAATAAAAAGCATAAAATAAAGAATAGTACAGTAATAATACAGTTAGACAATTTATATAGTGCATAATGCACAAAAAAACCTTCTATGTACTTCACTCCAGGGGGAGAAAAATAATAACTCAAGATAGTGCCATGATAGTTTAAAAAAATGATAATTCCAACACAAACCTTGGTACAAGATGTCTATGTTCAGGAGGGAGACACGTCACAAGACTCAGAAGAGAGTTAAAGACTGCAATGCCTTTTAACTATACATTATTGCTCTAACCTGGCTAGACTAATGTTGCAGTGTTGCAGCAACAGTAGCATAGAGGGCCAAACTATAGGAAATAGCTAACAAAATCTCAATCTGTGTATGTAAGATATGACGAAACAAATTCTATGTTATTTCCTGTTTAAATCACTGCTTATGTTTAACATCTTGATGCATACAAAATTGTTTACTGAACTCTGCGAACTCAGAATTTTAACAGAAAACAATGTTTACACAGTAATTTGATTTTTTAAGCCAAACTAATTTACTCAACACTTATAATTATAAATTATATTTTCCACCATTTTTCAACAATTAGTCTGACAATAAGTAATCAACTTTTCATTGCTGAGTAAGATCTACACTGTAGTCATACTGTAATTCATGCCACAGGGGGGTTGACGGTACTTGTTGAAATTGCAAATTGCGAACCCCCACTGAGTCACTAACTAAAAAAAGTAGGCAACCTAAAAATAGGACAACGAAAAAATATTAATATTAATACATAGACCTAGGCTTATAATTGACATATAAATAGTATAAATAGTACAATGCATGTTTTTCAACATCATCTATTCCCCATCGCATTGCCCAGCCTGAACCCACAGCTGCCGTATTACAGTAGCAGTACTATATAGTATTACACAATAAGCTCAACTTTAGGACAAATATAAAAATTTATTCGATTATCACTCCCGTCCGCGTCCAAAATTCGGGAAATATTAATGCAGGAATAAAAAAAAATTTTTTTTTTTGCCGCATCAATTATTTCAACAGCATAAAAATAACAATGCAATTTTGTGACTTCAAATACATTTTCTTTAAAAACCTGTAAAAATTAAACCAGTTTTTATACAATATTTACTATTTTAGAGACCAAAAAATATAAACAAAACAGTTCCTCCCTCATCGATAAAAACAAAATAATCTGTTGTTCCGATTAAAAACAAAAAAAAAACCCGCCCTCCTTCATTATTATTTTTTTTTTTTTTAAAGAGTGATAATCTAATAATTTTTTCTATATGTGCCCTTAGTCAACATACCAGTACGACGTGTCTGTCACAGGGGACATCCTTTGTCGGTTTCGTCAGCCCTAGGCCTTGGTCTAGGCTAGGCCTAGCTAGATTTGATCAGTCAGCTAACATATACTTTATCTAATACTATCCATACTAATGAAAGATGTTTTTAAATTGCACACTAGCAGTACGATTAAGATGAAATGCTGTTGTAGACTTCGGTTTAGTTGTAAAAACCTCCTTCGTTCATCCCACTTTGTTTACATTTTTTAGTGAGCCAACCATAAAATCCGTAAACCAATTATTACATCCGTTCGTTACCGTTTAACCAAAGATACTAGAAACAAAGATACTAGAAATACAAGATAGAGTTCTCCACACAAAAAAAGTGTTCCACCGTGTTCCACCGAAATGCATGGTGGGAATACGAAAAATGGGACGCCCCCTACAGCTGGATCTAAAAAA